TGTCTAGATGTTCATATGGCATTTTTCTGATGCTATAGGATCGCAATGCTTGTAGGAAAGCTAATTATGGTATTAACTTTCATCATGTCCCTAAAGACATTAGTGTCTCAGAGCTGAATACGTAGCTCCTATGTTACCTACCACTTCTACTACACCAGCAATGTTATGCTGCAAGCTAGTGTGCAGAGCAGTGCTGTCTCCACCCATGACTTAGAGGCTAATTGCCAAAATCTACTGGAGTTCTGCAAAAAAAACCTTGAAAATGGCACAGGTAATGCAATTGAAATCACTTAAAAAAAAAAAAAGGGCGGAGTGGGAGTTTAATATCAGAATCAGTCTGATCAAATCAAATGAGACCAAAAGACCAAATAGACCACCATTAAAAAATCATGCCATGGCAGGTGGGAAAATCTTGAATTCCTCCACCATGTCACGAAACAATCTTGTCAGTGGTAGGGATGCATTTTATCTTAAGTGACGTGATAGTTTGTTGTTGGATGGATTAGTTTGATTCCCCCACAGGGGGCACCAAAATTTACACAAAGCAAAAATTCCTTACAGGAGCTTTAACTTGATTTCCGGAGCCACCATCTTCCATACAAATCTTGGATTTTATATGTCTTTTCAGAGTTTATTGTCTTTAGTTTGGCTCCTCCATCAGGATTCTGAAAAGAACAGCCCAGCTGAAGATATACAGTATATACAATATATATGATATTTCAATGGCAGAACAAAAAACAGGTCTCTCATCATTGTTGTGATTCTTAACATACTATGCAGCTGAATGGTTGTTTAAATATGACATGAACATTTTCTGCTGGAGAAAAGATCATGACGCACAACAGCATTCAGTACATCTTCTAAAATGTACTTCAGGGTGTTGAAATGGCTTATTATAAAGTGTCAGATCGAAAAAATACTGTATAATATAACACAGTATAATCTGCTTCTTACTGTGTGTGGGAGAAGGACATAATGTGATGTGTGTGATGTGTCACACAGTGTAAAGGTAGGTGTGTTACTCTGCACACACACACTTTCATGAGGTTATTTAACAAGTATTCCCACTGACAAGAGCGGACAGAAATAATCCTTCCATCATTTCAATCACACTCTATTCAAAGGAGAGTTTCTGACGTTTTATGAGAGAGGACGTGATTAATTTGACAGTTTCATGGCTAAATCATTCAAATGCATCTTCACTGAAAGCTGAGGTGATGGCCACTCATAAACCTGTGTGTTATAGGCTCCTGTGTGAGTGTTATTTTTTAGGAGAACAGTATCTCTGAAGTCCCTAACTTTTACTGTATGAGCTGTCTTGATAGTAAACAGGACCGTAGCCAGCTCATCAAAGATCTCTCACTTTGTTTTAGTGAGCCAAGTATCTGAGATGAGACGGAGGAATCTGCTGCTGCTTCAGAGACTTAGGTGGTCTTTACACGAGTACGAATTTGTAAGACACCGGTAAAAAAAAACGATCGATCTGGTGATATTGACACACGGAGACGCGTATTTGTCCATGACTCCGCATCTTTTTTGAAAACGGGTCTGCAGGTGGATATCTGGGTATTCATCTTCATGTCGTAGTTGGTGTAAATAGATAAGTCCGGAAAGACTGTGACCTCATAGCACCCCTCCTCCTCCCCGCCCCCGAACCCACGTTGTCACACACACAACATGTATGTATGCGCATGCGCATTCTCTGTTTTTGGTGCTTTGTGGCAATTTCACAGTGTCACCTTCAGGCCGGGCGTATGTACTACAGGACTTGCGTGGATTTTGCTTTGTCATGTAAATGCACTAAGCCCATGTACAATACGATGTGTAAACAGCGATACATATTTTGGTGCTGACGCCAAGACAATACAGGGCCGTCCTCGTGTGAGGAGGGCCTCGGCGGTGATCAGTTTGCAGAGAGGATTAGTGAAAAACTCGAACTGTTTTCTCTGTGTCGTCTCTGTTTGTTCTGCAGCTTACTCATGACTCTAAAGAGCTGAGACAATAAAAATCCTCCATGACTGTTGGTCTTCATCTCAAATTGAATTCACTTGTGTTTTTTGTGAGACCTGCACTTGTTTTTCAAAGTTTAAAGAGTGCTCGGCGGTATGACCAAAATTTATATCACAGTATTTTTTTTTAAATTATTTTGTTGTCACGGTATCTTTTTTTTCAAGCAGGACTGGGTGATAACCTCATTTTCTAATCATTTAGAGAATAATTACTGCAGTATATTGGCTTAGAATGACATATTTTACTGTCATGAGGAGTGAATATTGTAGAGTATTGCTTTTCTTGTCGTAGTCAGTCCCCCTAGCAAACACGTAGGCTATTTGAGTGACATGTGACTTGTCTTTTCTCTAAGAGTGCCAACTTTACCTGCAGACATGGAGGACACCGATCATAGTTTCATGCATTTCTTGATATTCCAGGACATGCTTGTGGCTGAGGTGGTGAAGCAAATTGCTTGGGTTGCCTCCTGTGGCTACAATTTTAGCCCAACATTTTCAGAATATGGTTGTTTCAACAACATTACATTTTTTAAAGCCAAAGAACTTCCAAACAACAGACACAACTCCTCTTCTGTTTCATTGATTTTTCGTTCTGAGACTTCAGTTTCACAACTTTCGCCGTGTTTATCCATTTTGTTCATCGCTCAATGACATACGTACGCTCAGCACAGGCTGTGCTCTTAGGCCCAATTCCAAACTCCACCCTAAGCCCTCAAGCCCTGCACCCTCATTAGCTTAAGTTAAGTCAGCTGGTAAGTGCTTGAGTGTGGGAGGGCTTAAGGGCTCCAAAAGGGTATAAAAGCAATGGAACAGCCCTTTGTGACGTCCCACGTTACCTTGACGACAGACGACAACGTTGCCGTGACAACCAAAGATGCGACTGACACTTGCCTCTCTGGGCCTCTTCATTCTCCATTCATTTCGCGGCCGGCGACATCGCAGAAGAAAGGCCAACATTGTTCTGCTCCTTTTGCACACGCTTGCTCTTGAACATGGACAACAGGTAATTGGTAAATAATGATTAGATTGATAAATTATAAAACCAGCATTAATGATAGGTGAGGTGATATTGAATGGTTAAATGGTTGAAGCACTAGATTCTGAAAGTAATCACTGCTTTAGAGTGTTAGTTCAGAATAAAATGTATTGATTCAGATAAAAGTTTGAAGTAAAAATCAATTGTCTTTGTTATAAGAATAATGTGTGTGTGTGTGTGTATATATGTATGTGTGTATGTATGTATGTATGTATGTATATATATATGTGTGTGTATATATATATATACAGTATATATATGTGTATATATGTGTATATGTATATATATATGTGTGTGTATATATTATCTTATATCTATGTTAATGTAGTGCTTTCTTGTTCATTTTGGCATTCCAGCGCCCACCATACACGATGCGGAACATCCATGTTCGAGTATTAAGGGTGTACCTGGATCCTGAATGCAGCATGAAGCCTGAGTTCAGGCTCTCCAGGCAGTCCTTCACTAGTCTGCTCAGAATTCTCCATCAAGAGCAAGACCATGGCTGGGGCAGCACCTGGAAATTCTTATGTTCACCTACTGGCTAGCACATGGGTTGTCTTATAAGGTCACTGCAGACGCCTTTGACATCCCCAAAACCTCGGTTTTTAGAGCTATCCACAAAACAGCCAAAGCAATAAGAGAAGTCAGGAGCAGAGTCATTCACTTCCCACCTCCACACAGATTGGAAGAAGTTGGCCAAGGCTTTGCCAGACTGGCAAGACATCAGGCATTCAACAAGGCTGTGGGGGCAATTGATGGCTGTCACATCCGTATAAAACCACCCAAAAACAATAGAAAGTGCTATTACAATTATAAAGGTTTCCACTCCATCCAGCTCCAGGCCATCTGCGACTCCAAAGCAAGATTTCTGGACATTTTTGTAGGACATCCCGGTTCTGCCCATGACACACGCATACTGAGAAATAGCCCGGTTTATGTCCAATCATTATACCCACCACCTGTTTTTTTTATTTTGGGAGACGCTGGCTACCCCTGTATGGACCATCCCATCACCATGATCGTGCCATTCAAAAGGCCATTTGATGGGCCAATGCAGGAGCGCTTTAACAAAATGCATGGCAGGGCTCGATGCGTGGTTGAACGTGCCTTTGGGCAAATGAAGACACGCTGGCGGGCCACCTTCCTCAAGGCCCTGGAGGTCCGACCAGCCTTTGTCTCCGAGGTCGCCTTGGCATGCAAGTTCTTGCACAACATCTGCCTGGACAACGGAGATGTTCCAGATGAGGAGGATGAAGAGGAGCAACGTGAAGCGGAACCGGACGAGCCTGGTCTCCCTCCACTTGACCCAGGGGGCAGAGAGAGCAGTGGCAACCAAATCAGAGACCTCCTGTGTCAACACGTATCTGCACCCCAGCAGTTACATACCGTTTTGGCTGACCATGATTATGCAAATATCTGATTATTTCCTTTTTGTTTATTTAACAGCGCAACCACAAATATCATTTACCTTTTAAAATGAAGTAGATCAGTTACATTTGGACAAATTCATGTTGTGGAAATAAAGCTAAAAAAAATTCACTTACTGCCCTCTGTGATTTGTTTGTGATGGATAGGCAAGCCACAGACTCAGGACTGACCTTCAACCACATTTTCTAACCCACATGTCCATTAGAACAAATATTAAACATTCATACAAGACATAACACAGCAATTGTATTTATGTTCTTTAATTTCAAAGACGACAAAAGAAAAAGACAAGTCTACACAAAATAACTACTTTGAATTATCAGCCAACTTGGCTGATAATATAAGCTGATCAAGCTGCTTCTCCTTGCGGTCTTCTCTCTCCTCTTCCTTTTTATCCAGCTCCCTCTGCCTCTTGTCCTGCCTTTCTGTGTAATCCCGGATGTATTCTCGAACCTCATTTCTTTTTCTTTTGGAGGATCCAGGTGTTGGGGTGCCCGATGTTCCTGGGGCTGTGGCTGGTGGGGAATCAGATGTAGCAGGGAATCCTGAGCAACAGCCTGATGAGGTATGGGGAGTCTCCTCATCAGGCTGTTGCTCAGGATTCCCTGCTACATCCCCTGCGGTAGAGATCAGGTTCAGTGGTTTCACTGAGTCCTTGTCCCCCAACGCCTTGTGCATTAACTGAAAGTATGGCCAGGTGCCAGGCGTCTTCTCCCCAGCCTCTGTCCCTGACCCAGTTCGGGGTAATATCAGGTCCTGTGTCTGAGAGTACAAGGGACACCATATTACATCTTTATATTGATAAACTTAATTATACTCACAGAACTGCCATTCATGAAGATTTACCAGTGTAAAATAAACCACCCATGTCCACAAATCCAGGTGATCCCCAGGGACCAAATCACCAAATACAATGGATTTACCCTGTATTTTTTTTTTAGGTTCTCCCACTTTTTGGAGGCCTGGGTGGTGGTCACCTCCCCCACCAACCCCATCTCCTTTAGGATCCAACTGATGAGAAAAGAAATTGTGGATCCACTACAGCATATAGACACATACATATACCCCATAAACACACACACACACACACACACACTTTTAAGCTCTAGCTTGACTTTTACAATAGATAGAAGGATGACAAATCAAGGGTCACTCATTCACACACAAACACAAGTTTGCTTATAAAAATGTCTAACTTACTCAAATCCTTCAGCAGCTGAGCCCCTGTCCCCTGTAAAAAGGTGGTCATGCGTTGTGCGTAACTCGATGAAGAGCACAGTTTGTGCTTCGGTCCCTGTTTGTGCACAAAACAGTATATTAATCAGATTGCATCTGATGCAAACAAAATTAGGAGAATAGTCAATTTAGCACAGGACATCGAATAAAATTTGTGGTAATACTTAGTCTTCATCAATGACCAGTACGTTTTACTTACATATGAACTGCTTCTTCTTAAGCTTCGTTGTCATTACTCCGTCATGTTTTCAGTCTGTCGCGAAAGAGGAGACGCTTGTGGCCTCGTGCCTTTTTAAATCCTGGCCCCAGCTGCGTCAGCGTCCTCCGGTAACGCCCACAACGCAATGAATTGTGGGCAATTTCTTAGCCAAAGTCTCCAACGGTACGCACTTACGGAAAGGGTGCAGAAAGGGGCGTTCCCGAGCCCTCGCTGACTTACCGATTTCATTTGGAACAACCCTCAAGCCCTTACAGAGCTCACATGAGCGCGCACCTAAGTCAATGAGTCAGTGAGGGGGTGGTTTGGAATTGGGCCTTACATGCTGCTTGTTTGGTGCAACTTGCAAAATAGCCCCCTCTCAAACAATATCCGGCTTTGTGATGTTCCCCCGCTCTGCATTCCCAATATTTTTGTGCTACACACTCACCAGTACTGGAGTATATGAAAAATTCATATCATAAAAAAAATAAATAAAAAAAACATCGGTATTCAACATGAACCGGTAACCTGCCCAGCGCTAGTTTTAACTGTTATTTGTTCTGCAGTTTAGTCACAACTCATCAGATATTTTTTTTGTTTCAAGTCAAAATGAGGTCCAAACAGACACCTGTGGCCACAGGTCACCTGCAGGTAGAAACTGAGCGGTCTGATTTACACTGGGATGTAAAGAGATTTTACACTAGGTTGCAGGAATGTGGAGCCTTTTTCATTAGTACAGCCTGGTTAACATGTGTCTCTTCTCAAAACTTTCGTAAGCACCACTCCAGCTGTGACAAGTTTACATGGTACCAGAATGCATTACATATTCAAACACATGGTGATTAGTTCAAAGAGATATTTCTTTTTTTGAAGTGGGTTGTATGAATTATAAGTCACCTGTAAGAGTTATTGAGCACAATTGATCTCTGTTGGCTCGGCCCTTTCAGTGAGAAACTGTTTTTTTTACAGTGTAATGATCCACAGGATCTGTTTACCTGATCAAAATACACTGTGTTTGCAGCAGAGCTGGAATAACAAACTCTACACTCATCACTGTGTCTGCTGACTGATCTGAGGCTTTGGGGCTTGAACATCATGCAAAAATATTCAAAATTATATACAGAGGTGACTCATTCATTAGAAAGGATTAGACCTGATTAGATGATCCCACTGCCTCTGTAAGTAGTGAACAAACAAACCAGCTTTCTGATGGCAAAGAAAGCTGCTGAAACATTTCTCAGCAGAGCATACACTTCAACTGAGATTGTTTGAAGATTTCCAAAAAGGGTTAGGACAAAAAAAAAAAGACATCTTACAAGTTTTATTTAGCTTACATCACAAAAAACAAACACTGATGAGTTTCAGCACAGGGCCTTCATCAGAGCATTTGTTTGACTGAATGTATAAGTTGTGAGGATTTTGTCATGAGAGTTTCGTTTGAGGACCCAAAAGTAGGTAATGGAGGCAGTTAGCAGCTTTAAGTTATTTTATTGATGGCTATACAGTTGTTGAAGGGAGCTCTGAGGTCCAGGGAGTGAAGGAAATTGGTGCTGAGGAAGGGTGAGGCACAGTGAGGGCTTGTGAGAGAGTGTGGCAGTGGAGACAGAGATTGGGCAATGCTGTTGGTGAGCAGAGGCACTGGAGGAGAACAGGAGAGTGGAGATTAGTCACAGGTACTTTTCAAACACAGGTAAATATCCTTCAAAGTCACAATAACTTTGCTAGAGACTAGCCAAGATACCGCTGAGAACACTGGAATCATCTGATGATCTGCAGTCTTTCAGGCAGAGCTTAAAAGCAGGTGGTGATGATGTGATCAGGTGCAGGTGAGAAGGTGCAGGAGGAGCCAGTGCTGATTAAGAGCTGCCCAACCTCTGTAAAGGGGGAGACAAAAAAAAACCTGAGTCCACACAGAGTAATCATGACACAAATACCCTTATATAAGGTTCATCAGGAGCAGGGGTGGACAATCATGTGCCATGGAGGGCCGAGAGGCTGCAGGTTTCCTTTCCAACCCAAAACTCCACCAGGTGATTTCACTGATTAGTCCCTGCTCTCTGCTTGGAGGTAAGGTAATCAGTGAAATCACCTGGTAGAGTTTTGGGTTGGAAAGAAAACCTGCAGCCTTTCGGCCCTCCGTGGCACACGATTGCCCACCCTTGCTCAAGAGCATATTTATAGATGTGGTAACTGTGCTTCAAGTCCCACTCCAATTGTTTTTCATTTACCACTTACAGTGTTCTCAGTGGTCGTTACATTGTGATAATGAAGTTTTTAGCCAAAATCACGTTACCTGTGTCATTTTAAAGGGCTTTTCTTCTGCAGAGCTCCTGTAGCTCATTAGCAATAAGCCTCTGAGTTGTGGGCGGAGACAGCGCTGCTCTGCACACTCCTCTTCATGCTAGCTTGTAGTCTAACATTGCCGGTGTCGTAGTAGCAGCAGAAGACATAGGAGCTATTTATCTCTCAGACACTAATGTCTTTAGGGGCATGATGAAAGTTAATGTCATAATTAGTTTTCTTACAATAATTGCAATCTGCTAACACACACGCTTGTTCCACGATCATCCTCTCAACTTTTCTGAGTGTGGCCTGCATTGCGGGTCTTCGGGGGCGGAGCTTGGATTTGCTACGTAGGAAATCTCATTGTATCGGAACCTTTGGGTCTGGTTTACAGTGGTTTGAATGAAGAAATACTTAGATATGCAGTTTTGCCCCTAATTTCCTTATGATGTGTCCTGTAGCATCAGAAAAATGCCATACGAACATGTGGACAACAAGAAAAACATGATTTATATCACAATGGGTCTTTAAAATGTACAGACAAACCTAATGGTTCATGAAGCAACCTATATCAGAGCACAAAACAGCCATCCGTATAGGTAACATGGACTATGAAGCAAATCATGGCTCACCCTCCTCACTTAAGTTCTAGGGTACTGAGAGAATCCCAATTTCGATCAGAGGAGGTGACATTTTGAAGAGACTGGCCCATAGAGAAATGTTTTGGATTCGTACTCACAACACAATGACACCGAACGGACTTAATGATGATTTCAGCTTTAAATACTTTTGAAAGTAGGACTATTTGTGCTGGGTATGTTTCACTTCTGGAGCTAGTTCATGTATAATGCTGAGCACTAATTAATCAATGATGTTCTTGTAATGTGGATGTTAACCTGGCTGTGAGTAGCTATTAGCTCTTACACATTCAGCTGTGACAGAGAGGTGATTGGTGCCTGACGAAGTGGACACCACTTGCGGATGTGTAGAAACTCAACTCTGCTCTTGAGAAACCTTACATAAGGCCCAACCCCAATCCACCCCCTACTCACTCACCCTTCACTACCAAGTGTCACTCGTAATGAAGTAACACTCACAGCTGTGGAGTGCACTCCAATTGAAATGGGAGGGTATGAATAAGACGTGCAGGTATAGGATGTCCTCCTCACTCCACCGGAAAACAGAAAGATAAATCGCCATAGCAACATAAAGATGCGTCCTGTGCATGGCAGTGTTTCTTTTTTTAAATAAACAAGCATCTTGTACAGTTCTGAGCTGCACCGACTGCCTCGTTTTTCCATTGTCCTAGTGAAATCATGAATTAAGCAACCATCACATTGACGGGAGCTAAATTATACTTCAGATTGTAAGTGATACCACACATCTTTGAACCTCTTTACTATTTGACGTGCCTGCACAACCAAATCAAACGTCAGCACAGAGTAAGATTTCCGAGTTTTGTGTGATCTTTCCAAACCAAGTCTTTTGTGATTTTTATTTTTTTTTTTTTTGGCTAGTGAGACAAGGGTGGACACACGCAGAACTTCCTCCTCCATGTTTGCCAATTCACTACCTGCAAATCCCGCCGTGAGTGTGCACTGGTGCAGACTTGCTATTTAAGGACTGAATGGTCCACTTGCCCTCAGCACTCCGTGGTTCAGGACGGCCTTCAATATGGCGGAGCCTCCGCAGGGATGCGCAAATGGAGGGGAGTGTGTGTTGGACGAGTGTGTATGGGGGCGGTGAGGGACTTCACCTAAGGGTAGATGTACATTTAGTTTAACAAGTGCTCTGATGAAGGCCCTGTGCTGAAAGGTGTAAGCATTTTTTTTTCTTGTGATGTAAGCTAAATATTTTTTGTCCTCCATGAACTGGAACATGAGATGTGCTGCCTCCTTT